TGTGGGTCATTTCAATTACGGACACCAGAGTGTGGTGCGGGGTGTGGCAGCTCGTAAAAGCCTCCATGCTGGTGCTCAGCTAATTATGACGCTCTCACTGTTGCAGCAGGTAAATAACTCAGGACTGAGAGGTTCCGGCTGCCGAGTGGGAGCCTGCACTGGAGCTCAGGGAACTTAGACTGAGTTTGACAGGGACACTACAAGATGGGGCTTGAGGGCGAGGTCAGAACTGCTTGAAGGGAAAAGGCTGGGGGGGTCTCTGCGCTCAGATGGCCGTCTGCCACCCATTAATTGGTGGAGGGACTCTGCCTTACGAGCAGGCTCTGATGTGTTCTAGGGAGCCTCAGAGTCACAGGGTAGGGTAAAATTTAAACTCCATCTGCTTCTCCTAACCTTGCCTTTCATGCATCATTGGATCCCTGAGAAGTACGGGGATTTGGGGGAGCCTTGAGCCTGAACTGAGAAAATAGCTAACTCCATCTGCGGGTTTCCTACTGGCTCCCCTCACGCCCTTCTTCCCTGGCTTTCTGGCCTGACCTACCCAGATTCAAAGTCAGGACACAGGGGACTTGCTATGTCAACCGCTGAGGAGCTCAGCATCCTTTACCACCCCGTTCCCGCTCCTCTGAGAAGTCTGCAGAAAGTGGCGAGGATTATCTTGATTGGAAAGGGAGACACCGGATGCTGGGGTGTAGCTCAGCAGTGGTGCTTGAGGACCACGTGTGAGGCTCTAGGTTTGGTCCCCAGCATGTGGCTATTGTAATACACACAAAAGGCTAGAGGGGCCATCAAGGCAGCACTCAGAGGTTATCTCAAGGTTTTATGATAAACTGAAAGTTACCTGGAAAACCATCTCTGTATTCTAAATACCAGTGGAGCCAGAGCTGCAATTTCTCCGTGAACCAGAGCTGTGATTTCTCAGTGAATGCAGAAACTATCTTAGAACTACCTCCTACATTCCGGAAAACAGCAGATGGTAGAAATAGTCACAGCTGGGAGAACCCTGGTTTTGCTCTGTTCCTCAGTTTCCTTCTTCTGTGAAAGAGGAATCATGAAATGTGTAAACATTTGGAGGGGCTGGGATAAGCTGTGAATAAGGGCTGCTGGCCGTAGTGCTCCTTCCACGGCAGAGAGCGAGGTTCCCAGAGGAGGTCTGCAGGACGGCGTGTTACTCATGTCATTGCTTTGGGTTGCAAACTGACCCAGGGGCTCAGAGCAAGTTCCTGGCTGCCAGTGGAGATCAGGACTACTTGGTATGAAATAGCAGGAGTCCATTTAGTAGCCAGGCTATATATATATATATATATATATATATATATATATATATATAATAGATACATATATTACATATCTACACATAAAAATTGTATATACATGTACATATTAGGTGTAACATATTGGGGAGAATCACAGCTCATAACTGGATCATGGTAGAGGTAGCTGGAGGTCAGAGCCCACACTGAAGACTGAAGGCCACAATTCATATGTTGATAGCAGATGGTCTCTTGTGTTTATTTTGTGATAGATTATTTCTTGCTTTTCAAAAGGCTGTCAAATGCACTGCTTCCTTTTGATCTTATAAACTCTGTGATATAGATGCAGTAAGTTTAACAGCCTGGTTTCAAATAGAGTAGACAGAAGTGTGAGATGTTCAAGTTCTCCGAATAGATAGTGGTGGACTAAGGCTGGAATCAGGTCTCCTGGACGTGAATCCGTGCGCCCTCCAAAACACAGTCCAGAAGGAGGGAGACCCCGCTGCAGAGTGTTCACCGCACACCTCTCCTCCTTCTCCTCTGTACGTTCTGAGGGAGGAACTTCGAAAGCCAGAATCAGTAGAAGCTGAGCACGGCCCGGCAGAGGAGGCTGGCGGTGAAGCAGGAGGTGAGGAAGGAAACAGGTGGGGCTTTGCGTGGCCACTTCCTGCTCACAAACTGCTTCCGTCCCTCATTTCATTAACAGCAGCAGTGGAATTTCATGGGCAATTGGTGTTGAGCACTAACCGGGATGTAATGAGCAGGAGGATGCAGGTAAAGGCTGTTCGAATTTAAATTCTATTTCTTCAGGGGAGGAGGGGGGCAGATTTTTTTTAAAAAGCAATTTTATTGCCAGAAACAAAGTTCCTTGCAAACAGCTTTGGACTTTTGTGTCTTGAGCAGGCAACACTGGGCCTGGAAACTGTCTTACAGCCACTGTGTCCTTGAGAAAACCAAGCTCCTAAGCCAACCTGGAGGTGGACTATACACAGATGCCCAAGTCATCTGACTTTGGGTAGATTTTGTCCCTCAGACTTGCAGAAACACATCAGATACATGTCCACCGTCAAAGGGGTTAGAGTGAGCTGCGTTGTAAATGCTACTGCAAAATCATCACATGAAAAACTCTGTGAACCTGGGAAGAACTGGGGAATAATACCGATAACTGCTGTAATGTATGGTCTTTATGCCAAGTCTCTCTCTCTCTCTCTCTCTCTCTCTCTCTCTCTCTCTCTCTCTCTCTGTCTCTATATCTCTGTCTCTCAGGTTGGTGAAGCAAAGGGCGACTATGTCAAATAGGAGTAGAAGCCTGAGTGGACAAACCTTTCCTGGGAGGATCAGAGGCAGGGCAGCTTGGCTGCGCTGAATACTTTGGTAGGACATAAAGAGAAACCGAGAAAGTCAAATACGAAGGGAAGGATATTTTGTGGAAGACTTAAATGCTGACCTGATAGCTCAGCTGTAAGGCCACAGGATCTGACATAAGCTAGGGTAATTACTCTAGACTTCATGCCAGGGAATCTGAACCAGAGCTATTAGCCCCTGGGTGCCAGGTAACAGAACTCCTCTATCCTGGCTGAGTGTTGGTGCCACAGAGGGGAGGCTAAAGGGCCATCAGTATGATGGGTGACTTTATTTGTCACCTGGGCTAGGTAATGGACCCAGTCTTTGGTCAATGCTAGGTATTTCTGTAATGGTATTTTTTTAAATAAGTTCAATATTTATTTTTTTTAATAATTTTATTTAGTATATTTCTATAGTAAAAATGATTATATTTATCGTAGGTACTTGGTAAAGGACATGTCTCAATTCTTTTATCCCTTTCCATATAAGTGTGTGTGTGTGTGTGTGTGTGTGTGTGTGTGTGTATGTCATGACTGTAGTACATAAAGCAATCATTGTAGGGACTTGGTGCACACACACAACACATCACAGTTCCCCTTTAAAATCCCATTAACTCCTTCTCCTCCCCCATGCCTCTGTTTCTCAGTTGCTTTCCCATATGATAAAGATCTACTGTTCCCATTTTATTTTGCTCCTTACTTACATTTTGGATTACTCATATAAGAAAAGCCATGCAATGTTTAAACATGTCTGTCTAACTTATTTCATAGATGGACGGGTTCGATATTTAAATCAGTAGACTTTGAATAGAACGGATGATCCTCCTTAATGCAGGTGGGCTTCATACAGTTGGTTGAGGACCTTAATTTTAAAGACTGAATTTTCCAGAAGATGGAATCCTACCAGCAGATTACTGGATGCAAACTATGGCTGTCTTTGTGCCTCCAGCCTGCTGGTCTGCCTTGAAGATTCTCAACTTGCTGAGGGTCTATGGACTGATCTGTGTCCCTCCAAAATCTAACTCCTAGTGCCTCAGAACACGACTGTATCTGGAGCCACAGCCTGGATAGGAGCAGTTAAGGATCAGGATGGGCCCTAATCCCCGACGACTGGTATTCATATAAGGAAGAGAAACAGTCAGAGCCGTGTAGATGGGTAGAGAGAGGACCCTGTGAAGCAGCATGGAGAAGGCAGCCGTCTACAAGCCAAGAGGTCTCAGAAGAAATCAGATTTGTTGGAACCTTGATCTTGGGCTTCCAGCATCCAGAACAATGAGAAAATAGATTTCTGCTGGTTCAAGTCGCAGCTCAGGCTGCAGCTTTTTATTATGGTAGACCTAGCTGACTAGTCTAAGGATGGGGGATTGTAAATTCCTCAAGTCTAAGCACCTGGCTCAGCGCCTTACACAGGGTGTGTGCTCACCAAATGCCGTGCTGGCCTAGGCCTGGAAGCCTCTGCCCTGGGTCCTCCGTGGCATGAAAGAAAAGCAGAGGCAGCGTCCGAGCTGTGAGAGTGGAAACAAGAGCTTCTGAAGGTACAGACATGGCAGGAGTTCTGCGTTCTGATTGGTTCAAGGTTGATGGAGGAAATCAACTCAAGTCGGGAGCACTCTGTGACCACTTATTTATTTTTTGTTTTTTTTTTATTTTATTTTTAAAGATGGTAAAAGAAAACAGAACAAAATAGATCATAGGATAACCATGTAGGAAACACAGATTTCAAATCAAGACAACCAGAGATCTTCACTATCTATCATACTGTCTCTTATTTTCGTCCAAATAGTTGTCTTCACATACAATGAATCATACAAAACAAAATAGTATAGAACTGATCAGAACAGGATGATGAAGGCATTTTAGGTCTTCAAGACCAGACAACAGGGAAGTCAACAACAGCTGTCATAGTGTCTCTCACTCTCTTCAAAATAGCTGCCCATACCTTCATGAATGTTGAAATTAAACAAAACAAAACAGGCTAAAATCACTGTGAACAAATAATAATAGTATTGCTGGATTCCACATCATGACACTACAGAATCAGCACTGGGTACCTTACTGAGTCTTTCTTCAAAGTAGCTGTTCATTCCATCGTGCGTTATATAATTGATTCTCATAAGCTGTTTAGAAGTTCTACGCATGCATGAGTCTCTACATGTATACCTGTCCTTTCTGTATTAGAGGGAAAAACAAAACAAAACAAAAGAGAACACAACAAATTCCTAGAAAAACTTGAAACAAAAAAGACATATAGGGGCTGGGGGTTTAGCTCAGCAGCATAAGCACCTGCCTTGAAAGCAGGCAGTCGTGAGTTCAATCCCCGGTACCAGTAAAAAGGAAAAAGACAAAAAAAAAAAAAAAAAAAAAAAAAAAAAGACATATAAACAATAGCAAAGAGCCCAGAACATTGGCAAGACCATTTATTTTGTATTCTCTGCTGTGCCTAAAATAATTTCTAGTTCCTAGATTTTGATGAATGAGTGAATGACAAACGGGGTTTCACTACATAGTTAAAGCTGGGCTTGAACTCACTTTGCAGCCCACCCCTCAAACTCAGACTGATCCTCCTGCCTCTGCCTCCTGAGTGCTGTGATTACAGGCATGTACCACCACGCCTGGCGACTGAATATTGTTAACAACAGTTTAAGCGTACACATAAGGGTGCGTGTTCTAGGAGTTTTCGGAAAGACATTGAGAGGTTCTTGGGGAGCAAAGGCTTACTCTTCACTGTACACATTGTTTGGTTAATACACATTCATCCTGAACAGGTTATTCCTGGATCTTCTGTGGTCTATAGTGTTGTGTTCTTGAGCTCAATGGAAAGGGGCAAAGGCGGAGGGGGAGGCGTTTAAAATCACCATTCCTGCCCCTCCCATCGCCTCTCAGAAATATTTCCAGCCGCTGTAAGTGCTATGGTAGCACGCGACCAAGACCAGCAGTCTAGGTTCTCACGAGCCACTCCACAGAACCCAGAGCGAGCACAGGGTGACGGCGTAGAGCCCCAGTACGAGAAGGTAGCTTCGGAAGAGCAGCTGGTCGAAGCGGTACAGAAGAGCCAGCCATTGCACGCCCTGCTGCTCCACCTGGTCCTGAGTCTGCAGGTGGGTGTTGATGGATCGAAGCTGGAACCAGACTTCTTTTAGGGTCTCTGGCTGGGCCTGGTGCTCTTGATAGACTGAGGACTCTGCGTGATAGAGCAAAACAATGGAACAGAACATGAGGTGAGGCAGAGGCTAACAAAGCCAGCCGAGCTTTCCCCTGAAGCTGATGGCCTCATCCTTCAAGGGAGGCTGTGGGCAGCACTGGGCAGCGGGTTGGGGTTAGCGTCAGTGACTTTTGCCCTCTTTGCTCAGAGTAGGCATGGCCGTGCTGAAGGCAGGTCTGGAGCATGTGGTAGAGCTGTGTTGTCTGAGCAGAGCATGAACAAGTGAGATTCACCTAGGAGATTTTCTGAGCTCGGACCAGCCCCAATTGACTCAGTTGGAGTGTTCGAGGCTGGGGGATAATTCATATGCTTTTTCAGGTTAGGCAACTGGGACTCCAATATATACAACCCTCTCCTTTTGTATGTGTGTCTGTGTATGAGAGAGAGAGAAAGAGAGAGAGAGAGAGAGAGAGAGAGAGAGAGAGAGAGAGAGAATGACCTCCTGCAGGAGGTGATCCTCAGTCCCTGGAAAGGTTCTATACAATGCAGTGCAGGGACTCCACACAATCCAGCACTCGGTGCTTTGCTAGTGGGCACTGGTGCCCAGGGTGATGAAGCAAGGCAGGATAGGGGGGCTCAAGGCTTCCCACAAACCTGTTATCCCAGCACACCAGGTCCCGGGGTCCACTCCAGGTCCATCAGCATCAGAATCCTTTTGAAGGCATAAGAGGGGCTGTTCCCACCCACTGCACTGTTCGTTGTGGAGAAATCTGATCAAGAGGATTGATTTGGATAAGCTGAGTACCAAGAAGGCCATGCAGACGGTGAAGAAGACACCTAAGGGCAGGGAAGACACCAGAGTGGGGAAGATGGAGTCAGCCAGGGACTCCACGGCCTCTCCCTGGTCTCACCTGAAAGGTCTCTCTTGGACAGGTGTCAATGGCCTTGGGCCGCTTACCGATCAGAGAGGTGCTCCCTGTGCTCCTTGGCACCTCGTTAGCCATGTTGACCCTGAAGACCGTGTAGCCCACCAGCACGCTGGTCTTGAATACAATCCTTGCCCGGCAGTTGGCGGGCAGGTAGAAGCTCCCCAGGTCAATGAGCATTAGGAAGATGCTGGGTATCAGCAGACTCACCACATAGGCCAGGGGGCGCCTGCGAATCACCATCTGGCCAGAGAAAAGATCTCTGCTCAATCCACAATGAGGGACTAGCATTTGGCCAAACCGTAGCCAGGAACACACTCTTAATCTAAGAAATATGTTGGAGGTTACTTTGTGATTTAGAAAAAAAGGAAAAATGTCCTCTTACCTTTCACACTGAGCTATGTTAATGTTATTGACAGTTATAATAAGAAGCAGTTATTTATCATTTATGTACAGTTATTAGACCAAGTATTTCACATGTTTATTTTATTTGGTCCTGAATTTAAGGGCTGAATTTTGTTGTGGTCCCCATTTTACAAACAAGGAAAGAGAAATTTAGCGAGGTTGAGTTACTTGTTCGAATTCACACAGTTGGTGCGAATTTTTTTAAAACCAAAACCTGGCCATGCATGATTTCACACACCTGTAATCTTAGCACTTGGGAGGCTGAGGCAAGAGGAACACTGCAAATTTGAAGACAGCCTGGGATACAAAATGAGTTCAAGGCCAGCCTAAACTGTGTAGTGAAACCCTGTTTCAAAAAGAAAAAAAGAAAAAAAAAAAGCCTTCTTCTCTTAAACCACTTATTATGCAAAATTAGTGTGTATTATTTTCTGGTTAGTTTTCTCGTAAATTTCAGATGGGCTCACTAAGGAGACTCTTTGCAAGATGTGATCATGGTATAAAGAAACCACAATAGCAGCAGGATCGGACTTTGAGACTCATGCTTGTAAGCCCCACACTCTGGGAGACTGAGGCAGGAAGATCGCAAATTTGAGCCCTGCGTAGGCAATTTAGTAAGACCCTGTCCCAAAACAAACAAGCAAATGAACAAACAAACATACAAATAGCATTGGGATGTAAGTCAGTGAGACGAAGGTCCTGGGTTCGATCCCCAGTCCCTCCATCCCCAGAAAGAACAGTACTCTGGGACTTTTGGGGGACTGAGTGAGCAGATGCCACCCTTAGGCCTGAAGGGATCAGGGCTGAGGAGAGGCCAGACCTGAGGAGAGAGAAGGCGGTGGCTTTCTCCTGGGAACCCAGCCAGCTTGGCCGGGACCACTTGTTGTCTCCTTCCCGTTTCCGGTCATCACTCCTGTACCTTTCTTCCCTGACCAAGCATCCTACCTCTGCAGGACCCAGCTCAGCCTCAAGGAGCACAGCAGAGGGAGCAGAAGGGGGACACGGGTTCTCCCGAGTAGGGAAAACTAAAACTATCCCACTTAGTGTGTACTAGAGGTCCATACAGAGCTCTGCGCAGCTTTTGTAACTTGGAATGTGAGTCTCATAAAACCACTGTCATCGCCGTGTTTTGTAGCTAGGTTCTCTGGGATAGTAATAGGAAAATGTCTTTAAGAAACACCTACTCTTCTCAGCCTTGCTAAAAAGAAACCAGGGAATGCATAGCTGAGCTGCTTCCCCCACCAGACTGCGTGTCTCGCTGCATCCCATCTCTAAGGTAATAATAATCCTCCACGGGGCAAAACCAAAACTTTTCCCATAGTAGATATTCAACAAATGTTTAACAAGTAAGTGAGCATCCTAGGCCCTTTGCTACTGAATTTAGACAAATAATGCTTAGAATCTCTTGGATTTAATAAACAATGGAATGCTTTCTATCCGTCAGATAAGTGCAGAGTACATTTACTCAAACGATGTGATTTATATAATCCTCACTGCCAAGTTGTTGCAAGTAATATCCTCCACTTTACAGCTTTTCAAAAATACAGCTCTGCTCCCTGAAGTAAGATGAGACAGCGGCCGAGCCGGGTGGGCTCCGCACTCTGATTCCTCCTGCTCCTGTCCACACCGCACATTTGACCGGATCTCAGAGTTCTCTCTCATTTCCATCTCCTACTCCAGAAGCCAAGACAGAGCAGACATGCAGAGCCCAGAAATGGGCAGAGGATGACAGGGGAACAGCGTGGCCAGGGTGTCCAGACACCAGCTTGCTGATCAGAGAGAGGCCTCCCCAGCCACCATGTCCAGGAGCCCGTCCCAACTCGGTGGCGCTTGGCAGGCCAGAGCTAGTTGGTGGGTTGTAGTCTGGCTGTTGTCTTTCCTATCATGCATGACTGATGACAAACAGCTACACCAAAGCAATACTCACTTTTGCAGTAATTCAGTTAAAACACATTTCAAGAAAAACGATAACAAAATTAATTGTCATCAGCCTGCAGCTCTCTGGCTCTTGTCACCATGTGTGACCGAGATGGCCATGGGTAGTACAGGCGGGAAAAAGTGGCCAACTCTGGGAGTCCATTGCAAACCAGCCCGGCCAGCCTAGCCTGGCCTCATGGGCCGGGCAGCGACCAGGTCTCCTGTTTCTAAAGTGTAGAAATGGAAATTTCCTCCTTGGCAGAGATTGCATGAAGGGCAAGAAAATTCTAATAACGTCATCATAAGGCAAAGTGCAACCAGGCATGTTGGTTTGGTCAAAATGTTAAGATTTTAGACTTAAAATCAAGCGAGGAAAGTTCTGTAGTACCTCGAAGTGGTCCTGCGTGAGGTGACCTCTCTGTGCCTTGACTCCTACTCTTTCCTTTTCTGTTTGTTTTTGTTTTTAAGACAGTGTCTCAGTATGCAGCCAAAACCAGGCTGGAACTCAAGTGACCCTCCTGCCTCAGCCTCCCAAGCACTGAGATAACAGGTGTGCACCATCCCTTCTGGCTCTGCTTTTCTTAAAGTAGTTTGTTTTTGCCTTGCCAAAATCTTGTGTATGACTGAGATCTGCTGTGCACTTTAAAGCTCCTGTATAAACAGCACAAGTGAAGACGGTTGCCCTCTACTCAGAGGCAGACAGTGAATGTAAATCTAAGCCGAAACCAGCTGGCTTCAAGGGTGTGAGACCTGTGCAGGCCCACGTGGTCCTGACCTTGGACTGGCCCTGCGCTTGGCTTAATGCTTTCCTGGTGTTATTTAGAAACTTTTAATAATTTTTGAACAAGAGGCTTCACATTTTGATTTTGCAGTGAGACCTACAAGTTATGTTAGATTCTGCGGGCAACGATGGTTCCCTGGATGTCAACAGCAGCTGAACGCTGGAGAGGAAAATCGTAAGTACAAACGTGGATGGTTCACTTCTGCTGTGACGTGAAATGAAGAATTTTCCAGCTGGTTTTGGAGGCTGAGGTAGGAGGATTACAGTGGGTTCTAGCCCAGCCTGGGCTCCATAGTGAGACCCTATCTCAAACAACAGAACAGAACAGATCAGAACAGAACTACACAGCACAGCACAGCACAGCACAGCACAGCACATCACAGAACTCCTGTTTCTGGATTACAAAACTGTAAACCCCTCTAGAACTACCTCATTCATTCTCCTCTTACCTTTAGGATAAGGTATGTTCACATTCCTAAAATAGATCAAATAGTCCCTACTGGTTTGATTTTCTTCCAGAACAAGGGACCCACCTTTTTCTTTAGGTTGATTTACAGGCAATGCTCCCTTCAGGTTAATTTTCTCCATAAGCCGAGTGTAGCCTTAAAAAACTAATTTTATCATATAGTTTTCAGAAACTTTTTCTTCATGACATCACTTGATCTTGAGCGTCCTTTACCCTTTTCTATGCTGTTAACAGCATAGAAAGCATAAACAGCATAAACAAGGTGTTGGGAACCATCCTAAATACTAGAATTAAATTACCAATGGGACAGGCTTTTGTCCTGAACTCTGTCTTACAGGTTCATGAACCCAACTCTGGAGGCTGGATGTTTCATAAGTCTGACTGGAGAGGAATTTTGCCCCAGAATGTATACGTGGTTTGTAAGACTTAGGTGATGAGACTTGGGACGCTCAATATTGATATTTGGGTGATTATTTTGGATTTAGAGTCGGTATTAGAATAGGCTAAGACTTCTAAGAATGCCAAGCTGGATGAATGTGTTTTGCACATGAGACAGATGTGAATTTTGAGGGCCACAGCATGGTAGGTCGGCTGTAGTAAATAGTGTCCTCAAGATTTCATGTCAGTCCTGGAACCTCAGAACATGATCTTATCGGGAAATGGGATAAATGAAAACATAATTAGTTAAGATGAAGTCATCCTAGGGGAGGTGGGGCCCTTGATCCAGTAGACTTATGTCCTTAGACACTCAGAACACACTGTGAATGTGGCAGCAGATGGAGCGATGGGTCTGCAAGCCAAGGAATGCCCAGATGATTGGGCTTCTTGAGTCCAGCTTTCCAGTATCCAGAATGACCAGAGAGCACATTTCCACTGTATTAAGCCACAGTTGGGTACTTTGTTACAGTAGCCTGGTGAAACTATTAATGATGGTTTTCCCTGTAACACACGGCATGTGGCTGCCAATAAAATGGACTGGAATGAGCTGCATTGTGTGTCATCATGAGGTAGGATTAGGCACGTGGATTTTGGAGCCAGATTCCCTGGGTTCAAGTCCTGGTTTTACTGGTCCACCAGTCAGCCTGTAACCTAACTTCTCGGCACCTCAATCCATTCACTTGTAAAACATCCAGATCCATTGAGAACCTAGCTCATGGGTGTAAACGTCTACAGACTCTTAGATTGCTGCCTAGCGTAAAGTGTTCTGACTGCAGTTGTTGTTACTGTGTCTCCCTGGGCAGATTTTGGGGTCCGTGATAGATATCAGGAGCCACTTTTATTCATCTTGGTGTGTTAAGTGTTTACCATGGGAATTGGTACACAAAAAGATGCTCGTTGAATTGCATTACAGTCTATGAATCATGCTGCCTTTGGTACCAGAAGAATGGCAGTGTAGAGTCCCCCATAGGGGGCTCTCCTGTTGCGGACTGGTCTTTCTGAAGACTACCTCTCATAAATCACGACAGAAGCCATGACCCTTGCTTTGGCTAGGAAGAGCTATCGCCAGCTCAGTGAGACACTGATCTTTGTGAAACCACCCCTACCCACAGCACATCATTTCTAATGGACTAAAGGAGCTGGTGCCTTTAAATTCCACAGAAAGGAAGAAAAAGCACTTTAGTTTCAGTCCGTGTTCTCCATTAGACACCCTTCAGGTGTTAGCAATATTATGCCACAATTTCATTATCCATTAAAGCCAGGTAATAATAAGTACACAAAGGTATTTGGAGCCTATTGATGTTAATGAAAGAGATCAATCTAATTCAGAATGTGTGTGTGGAGAGCTCCTTGGAGATGGAATAGGCCCCAAGGTTAGCCCATAATTGCCTCCTTGATGGAAGACCCCACCAGTACTCAATTTTGCATGACCGTCTTTATGACTTAGTCGGAATTTTGACGCCCAGGCTCACGCTTCACACAGAAGCCCACTTCCCTCCTCTCCCAAGCCCCTCCCAACATTCCCAGTTCAGAAGAAGGGGGAACTTACTGCCATTTAAATAAGATCTTTGCACTGAGGGGAGAGTTGCTTGGTCCATGACTGTCTAATGGTTTGGCTGGATTAGCAGAAACTCTACGATTCATGCTTTGGGTGAGAGACCTGGGAAGGATTCCTAAAGCCCTAATCTATGCCTGTCTGTCTGTCTATCTCTCTCTGTCTCTTCTGTTGCTGCCCAGAAGCATCTTCTATCAAATTTATCAATTGCATTCAGTAGATATCTCAACAAAATAAAATATAGAAAAGAACCTTATAATGGAAAAAAAAGAGAGGAAGGGAAGCTCTTTTCCCTGTATCTCGGAGTGCTGTGTGGTACCCCACTTCCTGCCTAAATGAACACTTTAACACGAGGTATCTGTGGTTGGCCTGGCTTAGTTCCCATAGTTGTCCACTCTTTTCCATCCAAGAGAAGTTTCTAAATTTTATCCCTGCCGCTTCCCACTTCTACTCTCACTTAAAAAAGTCACTGCCATACAGATCAAATCCTCACCCTGCTGTTTCTGGGAACCGGTACCTTCAATAACGTATTGAAAGAAACCTGCCCTCCTATGGCTGCTGGATCAGGCCCTGGCTGCACATGGACATCCTTGTGGGGAGAAGGGTCTCGCTCTGGGCACCCCTGTGGAATGCAGCCCGACTCCAAAGCATCCGTGGTGCCCTTTGATAAACAGTACGTGTCCCAGAGCCAGCAGCTATGATTGCACATTAGCTAGGACTAACAGGGCACCCACAGTGTTTGATTTAGTACAAACAGCAGCAGTGTACACAGGCCTAAGACAATAATGTATTTGCACGGGACTGTCATCTCCTCTGCCTGCTCCACCTGTCCCCAGCCTCTTGCTGGGTAGCCTGGACTGGGACCCAGTGGGTGGTTAGTTTAGGAAAGAGATGGCCCTTTGCTGTCAGGATCCTGGCAGGCCCGGTGTTGGCACAGACATGGGCTCTGGGCTTCACATCACTGGCCAAGGCTTGTTGAAAGACCCCAGGAAGTCTTGGATGCTAAATTCATAGTTGGCTCTGTGCTACTGAGCAAGAACACTGAGCCCAGGCAGGGTGCACTTGGAGGCTGAGAAGTTGAGACAGATAGAGGATTGTAATAGTAACAAAATCCAGCTTGAGTCTTTACAGCTTGGCAAGCATGAGGTCGTGAGTTTGATTCCCCAGAACCAAAGAAAAAGTCTCCAAAGCGGCAGGATCACTCCTGAGTCTAATGTGATTTGTGCCTTTACGTGGGATCCTTTCACTACTCTGTTCTGGAGGACTAGACTGGAGTAGAAAGCAGCCCTGATAGTAATACCAGGGCAAAGGCCCGCAGGGGAGGTCGCCAAGCGCAAGGAACCGAATGGGTGCCTCCCTGCAAACCCTGACAAGGGAAGGAGCAGGACAGAGAAGGGAGCTCGGAGCTGGAGCGTGGATCCTCCATCTGGAGAAGACTCCCCTCCGTGAGGCACTTTTTTCAGCTATGCTAATCATTTTCCAAGTGGAGGGACTACAAAGAAAACTTTAGGTGCTGTTGAGAAGAAAAATTAACATTTAAGGCAAAGGGTGACTCGAAACTACAAAGGGCAGCTGCTACGTGGAGAGCGCGGGAGTGCGTGCGCGCATGCGCAGAGACGCACAGGCGTGCGCTGCTGGCTGCCTTTCTCTCTCTCTCGCCTCTGTCTGCCTCCTCCGTGCAGTGTAGGTAATGGTCTGTGCAGCCTTCTCAGTGGTGCTTGGTAGGTGACTATATCCCACCTTGCACGTGCTACTCCCTCACATTTCCCTTTAATGCGCTCCATTATTCGGGCTGCATTAATAATGTTTGCAGGCTGTTGTCTTTAAAATTAATGAGGTGTTTACTCGTAGCCGAGAAACTCATTGAAATTTTTTTCTAAAGCTTGTTTTCCCCCACCTTTCTTTCTTTTACTTAAAAAGTGGACAAGATGGCCGCAGCACAAATTTTGCTAAAGAGGAAGCAGAATTCTACACAAGAAACCCAAACCCCAGCCCACTCCCAGGAAGGTGAGAGTTGCAACTAGCTGCTAGGCAGCGGGATGCAATAGTCAGGCTCAAGCTCCACGTGTCTCCAAGAGACCCCAACTGAACAAGAGTTTTGCTAGAAAGCTGCGTGCAACTCCGTTTGTTCAAAAGAGGAACCCCTGCGCCCTCAGCAATAGCTTATTTCATCATCAGACAGCACCTTGGTTTAGTCTAGTGGTGGCACACCCATGGCACGCGTGCTGCAGTGGACACGGAGGCCCTCTCTGTCGCTCAGTACTGTCCCTGCAGCCGAACATCAAATAACATCACACACAAAGGCCATGTGCATGCTCAGAAAGGCGTAGGGTCATCAGACTGCACTAACAAGGACCCGAGAGTTGCATGAGTTGCTTTCTACTTAAGATGTGAGCTAAGGTTTGACAAATTATCACCATGAGTACAACAGCAGATGTGCAAAAGCATACCAAATGCAAACGTTTTCCCCCAGAAACAGCGTCTCGCTGGGCAGTTCAGGCTGACCTTGAACTCACAGCAATCCTCCTGCCTCAGCTTTCTGAGTGCTGAAATTACAGGCATACACCTCCAGGCCTGGCACAAATGCAAACTTTAACCTTTCCTTAAGAAGCTGTTTGTATCATTGAAAGCTCTGCTATTGCGGGGTTTTTCTTTTTAAGTCAAAAGATGTTAATGTGTGAGTTTTTCTAAACTAAAAGTATTCAGGTTTAATTGCAACGTTGGCTCTTTGCGCTGGGTTTTGGGTTGCAGTTTGTACATGCAATTTCTACAAGGCTTGCTATCACTGGTCTAGTCTAAATGTGCCCTGTTATTCCAAGGGTGTGTTTCTAGGAGAATCCGTCTTGTTTGCTATCCTGATGTGCTTGAAGTCTTCCAGCTGGATCCACTATGTGGCGTGAAGGGCCCCACCACCCCACTCCACTGCCACTAGCTGGTTTTGCATAGGGAAGCAGAGTGCACTGCTCACCCCACGTCAGGACCATTTGCCAGGAAAAGCAAACAGAGAACCATTGCCTCTAGGGCTGCAAATCAGCTGGCTTCCCTGTCTTATGCGCACCATTCTCCAGCGCCCGGTCAGGCAAATTTCTCCAGGAGCAACGAACTTGAGAGCTTTCCCAGAGGTAGGTGGGAGCATTGTGGGTTCACCACATCCCTTTTGGTGGTTGTTTTCTCTGAGCCAGAACCCACCAGTGTTTGCTGTGGGTCTTGCAGGTGACTATTAGCGAATTCCTTCAGATATCCAAGCTCCTAACAGGAGCATGGTATGCACCTGCCTCTGAAATTAATTTATAATCAGGACAATCACATTGATCAGACAGACTTCCCACCTGTTAGTGATGGTGAGTCTGTTTGTTTGTTTGTTTGTTTGCTTTGCTTGGTAGAATGAGCACTGATAATGTTGCCATGTGCTGAAGGTTGCAGGATTCCTGCTGAAGGGAGCTTCCCAGTGAGGCTCTGGTGTCTGAATGCCATTCTCTTTGCTTTCCCTTGTGGACTAACTACAATAGGATCCCAAGATCTCCCATTGCACCTCTGATCTCTGTAGATATCCAGAGCTGTGTGGACCAACTTTTCTTGTATGATAATGAAGGAGGATATGCAGTGGAGCAGAGATTCCTCAACCCAACAGAGAGGGACAAGAGCTGCGGAGAAATGGACGATGGGGGAGGGAGGGGAAGAACCTACATTAAACTGAATCTGTGCAAAATCCCCAGCACTGTTCTGCAGGATGTTGTATACTGGGGTCACAGAAAGCAGTTCCCATTCATTGTCATTCAAAAATGCTTTTTTGTCACGCTTAATGTCTTCTCTGTTCCTCAGAAAGCGCAGGTCTACGTCTTCCACTAGAAACAACAGAGACAGTTTACTTCCCAGGAGAGAAAGCGGTGCCAGCATCAACCCACTTCCCAACTCCCAGGTCAAACGCTTCCCTTCTCACTCCCTCCTACGTGCATGCACTTATTGATTTCATTTCAAATCAGCAACAAAGACATAGAATAAAATCATTATAGTCGTTAAAGTGAAGAAAATGATAAATTTAAGGTTTGGCATCTACTCTCCACAGAATGAAGACCCTTGTCCTGTGATTTACACCATTCTCAATGACAGTAGCATCCTAATATTGTAATCACAATTAAGAGCAGCAGTGGGCGAACACATTATATCTGATCTGAATTATAGCTGGAGCCAAATAACTGCAAGAAAAGACATTTTTTTGTTTTTTGGTGCTGGGGATCGAACTCACGACCTCACATTTGCCAAGCGGGCACTTACACCACTAAGCTAAATCCCAGAAAGACCTATGTTTTTAAAAGCAAACATGAAATGATATTATAACTTGATTACAATGTAATTACAAGAGAGTATATATGCCAACCTAGCACAGGCAGTTTCCCAGCTAGTGTTCTGTATGCCTCAGTTTACCTGTGTGCAGAATGCTACTGAAGGTCAGGCTGCAATTCTGGATATCAAATGGGAAAGCATATGTCTGCAGGCTGCACGCAGACACCACCTGGATCGGCTTAGAGTTCTTAATGGTCCCAGATGAGTTCACATAAACATAGGAAAGGTCAGGAGATCTCTCAGTTTCCACACTATACAAGACATAAGAGAACTTATTACGAAGAGGGTTTTAGTTATTTCAAGCCATATACAGAATTGATTTTAAGTTAGTGACCATGAGACCTAGGACTAGCCTAGCACTGCAAAGAGAATTACATTTCCCATGAAGCGATTGACCCCAGCAAAGATACAGTGATAGCCTCATAGCTTAATTCATCTGCTACTGTTACACTGTGGACATAAAGAGGGACCTTAAGCACAGTAATCAAATATGGCGTTTTTTGTTTTTTTGGTACTGAATGTCGAATTCATGACCTTGTGTTTGCCAGGCTTGTGCCACTGAGCTGTATCCCCAGCCCTCAAATCTGTATCTTAAATTATGTCAACTGTTGGCATTTCTTACCTGAATATTCCCAACAGTGTGCTCCCCTTCAACTTGAGAAACAAACAGAAAACAACGATGGCTGAAAGTAAAAATCAACTGGTCTGATTTGAAGCCGTCCAGAGCCCCAGGGAACACACTCAACACACTTACAACTCATTAATGATGATATCGGGCGCCCAGATGGCGCTGAGGGGCAGAGAGATCTCTCTAATCTCGTCAAACAAGCTGGAGTTCCAGGCTAAAAACTCATCGTACCAAACCTGTTAGGAGCAGCCAAGAAAGAAAGTTGTCAAGAAGGAAAGAGGTTAATCTCACTGAAGAACCCAGATGAGATTTGGATTATGATCCAGAGTGTCAGCCTCTGGGTACTCTCTGTTAGGGGGAGAATTTATTCATCTACTTCCTGAAGGTGGTGGCCCCGAGCAGAATATTTGATCAGACATCCTGCATTCTAACAGATGGGGTCTGCTGCAGATCTAAGGAAACACAAAGGCACAGATAAAATCTGTTCCTTAGAATAATGGTAACCCAGATCAGAAATCCAGCATGCATAGAAACAAAAATAATCATTTACCTCACGATACCATACACTTGTCTTTAATTTTTGATTCTGTACATCCTGCAAAACAAAAAGAAAATCCTTGCCAAATCTTAGAATGACAAGGAATCAAAGGCAAATTTAACAGCATGGCAATTCATAGGAAGAGAATCAAATCTAACCAAATAATACTCATTTAAAAATATTGCCTACTCTTCAATACCTGAGTATCCTCAACTCCTACTTTGTATGTAACACCTATCGCTTGAGCTTTCCTGTATTACCTATGACAGTAGCACCCTAATATAATCACAGATTAAGAGCAGCAGTGGCCACATTACCTCTGATCTGAATTACAGCAGGAGCCATAGATTTAGTTATGTATTTAGATTTGACTACACCTGACATCTTGAATGATTTGCTAATCTCTTTTCCACTCTAATTAATTACCCTGCTATTAATCAAACTAAAAAATGATACACAGTCTTAGCCAATTTTGAGCTAAAAAGATGAGCCCACAATTTCATTTGTAATCAAGATATTATTTATAACCTTTCAAAAAGAGTTATTTCAGCTGATATTGGCAGCCATTCGTGTTAAGCTTAAATTTCTCTGCTTACAAAACAAACTGACTAAACTTAATACAAGTAAGATAGTTTTAGAGGTTTTAATAGGTATTATTTCTTATGTCTGCAATGATGTGGTAATTTTTTTAAATCCCCAGGAACAGCAAACAAAAAATGTCTTTACCATTTTTTGTATCCATATCTAAACTAGTAAAGGACGTTTTCAAGCTGTGATGTTTTTGGGGGTTGTAAGAAGAAAAGAAATATCTCACAGCATTTACAATTATTATGTGAAAATGGACAAAAGGCTTGAAGTAAGAGCAAACCTCTTTATAACTTTGAATTAGACAGTGTTTTCTTAGATATAGCAATGAACAAATAAAATTTCATGAAAATAAAATACTTGGTTACATTAAAGAACACTATCAGGAAATAAAATAATAACTTACAGACTGGAAGAAAATATTTATGTATCATATACTTGATCAAGGGTCTAAATATAGGATATATAAAGAATTCCTACAACTCAACAACAAAAAATCAAATAATCCTGCTTAAAAATAAGCAAGGAATTTGAGTAGACATAGGTTCAAGGTAGATACACAAATTTCCACAAGAAGATGCTTAATATCATTGTTATGAGCCAAAGCGCTGTCCCTCTGCCCTAAAAAATTTTTGTATATTGACCGTCTAACATGCAGTGTGCACAGATTTGGACTTTAGAAAGTACAATGCTTAAGGTTAAGTAAGATCAGGCTACTAATACTGTAGATACTGCAGGAGTGGTGATCCTTTTTTTTAAATTTAAGATTAAAAAAGACATATAAAAAGAAAAACAAAAAGCAATACAGACAAACAACAATAAGAAACCAAATACAATAACAGTATGGGTTTACAAAACAAGATGGTAGGAATTTGACAATGGTTGTAATATTTCGTATTGTTATCTTCAAGAGGGCTGCTTAGATTAACAGATATAGACATGTAAAATGGATCTAAATATATGAGTATTAGCTGTTCCTTTCCAGTAAGTAATACAATTAGTAGTATAGTCATTTTAGCTATTATATATATATATGTATATATGTATACAAATTTATTTTTTTCCTTTTTTCCTCTTATTCTAATTACTTTTCCTCTTTGAACAGTTTCTTATTCTTACACAGTTTTTATTGTAGATTTTGGAACATACATAATTTTTCAGTTTCTTACACTAGGAGTGGTGAATCTTGCAAGAAAAGAAAGAGACAAGACAAACAAAAACTGAGGAAAGTTGTTCACCAGATTTAAAGAAATGCTTTATGGCATCCTATACTAGAAATGTAAGGATGGTAGCTACCATCATGAAAATATAAAACTCGACAGTAGAATAAAAGAACAGATACGTGAAAGAAAAAGAGAATCCAACCCTATCAGCACAGAAAATCACCATATCACAAAGATGAACAAGAAAGGGAGGAAGGAACCAGGTATGTGGCTCACCCTAAAATCCCAGCACTTGGAAGCCTGAGGCAGGAGGATTCCCATGAGTTCAAGGCTAGTTTGGACAATATAGTAAGCTCAAGGCCAGCCTAAATTTACATAGTGAGACTCTGTCACAGCACATCCCACCAGCCCTCCAAAAAAAGAGAGGAAGAAAAGGAAAAAAGACATACAAAATAAAAACTTAAAAAAAAATTAAATAGATGTGGTTGTGCATCCCTGTAATCCCAGCACTTTGGGAGGCTGAAGCAGGAAGATCTCAGTTTGGGGACTTGCCTGGGAAACTTCTAAGCAAGAAGGACTAGAGGGGTAGTTCAGTGTGAAGACTCTGAGTTCAATTCCCAGTAATGCAAATAAGTAGGTAGATGATAGATAGACAACAAGAGGATATCTTTAGTTATCAGTGACAACTCTTGAATATAAGTAGATTAAATTCTACCTATTTAGAAACACAGAGTGAGTGAATGGATTTTTAAAAACTCAACTCAAAAAGAGAAAAGTCAGCCCCTCTGGAGAATCTGCTATGCTGGGACTTGGAGGGTCCAACAAGAAGCCAACCGGCCAGCCCTTCTGGTAGGCTGTGCAAACCCAGTGGCTTCCAGGAAAACTCTGTGCCTCCCGTGAGCCTCCTGGCGGCCAGCTGAGAATCAACGCCATGCCACCACCACCACCACCACCACCAGCAATCCCCTGGTTCCGAGGACAGGCTGAATTGATAGCAACTAAGGCACATAAAGCAACTAAGTGCTGGTATTGTCGGGTTGACTTTGCAGGCCTGGGGCCAGCGTCTGAGCATCTCTTGGGAGGATGACAGTATGCAGTATAGCAAATCTGGGGATAAGGACACACGGTAACAATATCTACTATCTTTTTGTTCACACCTCACGAAGACACAAAAGAGGTCTTCCAGAACTGTTTCAGAAAGTGGCAAGAAGGCAGGATAAGTGTGTCTGAAGAAAGTGGGAGTATTGTGAGGGGATTCTAGCAATGTATATTTTACTATAATAAAATTTCTAAAAGTTAGACATTCACCATGTATCTTGATTACCCCTTGAAAAAGGAGCTCAAAAAACTTATCACCAGCTGTGTGGTGGTGCACACCTGTGAATCCAGCAGTAGACAGGCTGCGGCAGAAATTTGAGGCCAACCTGAGTGTAACTAAGAGTTAATAGTAAGTTCAAGGCCAGCCTAGACTTCATACTGAGACTTCATCTCAAAACCCCAACAACAACAACAAAGTTTAACACCAATAAAAAAATACAACAATCAATAATTTCATAAGGACTTCTTAAAAGAAGTATAGCCAGGCATGGTGGTGCATGCCTGTAATCCTAGCATTCTGGGAGGCTGAGGCAGGAGGATCACAAGTTCGAGTCCAGGCTGGGCAACTTAGAGAACTCCTAATTTCAAAAACTAAAAAGGTCTGGGAATGTAGCTCATTGAGAAAGGTCTGAACTCAATCCTCAAAACCTGAAAACAAAACAAAGAAATTATGAATGGCCAAAATATATTCAGCATCTTCAGTCATCAGGGAATTCAAATAAAAACTACACTGAGATTTCATTTCAGCCCAGTCAGGGCGACTATAAAGAACACAGAAAACAGTAAAAGCTGGTGAGGATTCAAGGGAAAAGGAACTCTTCTGTATTGCTGGTAGGAATGAAAATTAGTACAGCAATCATAGAAATCAGTATGGAGTGAGGGATTTAGCTCAGTAGCATGAACACCTGCCTGGCGAGCACGAGGTTCTGAGTTTGATCCCTGGTACAGAAAGGCAGAAAGAAAGAAATCAGTAGGGAGGTTACTCAGAAAACTAAAAATACACAGACTAGCTCCAGTGCTCCTTGGTATATACCTAAGGAACTGAAGTCAGCATATCTGCTTACCCGTGTTTACTGGAGCATAATTCACAGCAACCAAGACATGGAACAAGCTTAGGTGCCCATCAACAGGTGGATAAATGACAAAATTACATACACAATTATTCAGCTGTATATAACCTAACTGTGTCTTTTGCAAGAACACGTATGGAACTGGTGATCATGTTAAACAAAATAAGCCAGACCAGAAGGATGAAACCATGTGTTTTCCATAATATATGATATCTTTAAAAGATGATATAAAAGTAGAAGGCAGATTATTATTAGACAAAAGGAAAGAAACAAAGGTAAGGTGGTATAAAGGAGGGTAATGGGGAAATAGATACAATTAGGGCCGGGGATTTAGGTCAGTGGCATAAGCATAAGGTTGTGAGTTTGATCCCCAGTATAAAAAAAAGAGAAATAGATATCATTAAATATATACATGTATGAAAAAATCACATCAAAACCCAATGTTTTATAAAAATTAATAGGCACTAGTATATATATATATGTTATATATATATATATACTAGTATACTATATATATAGACTAGTATATATATATATATATATATATATATATATATATATACTAGTGCCTATATATAGAGAGACAGACAGACAGACAGACAGAGAAAAAGAGGTACCACATGTTCTAACAGGAGCTAAGAGGAGCTAACAGGCTGATCTCAAAGGGTGTCATGGCTTCCGGCTTCACTGATTGGCTTAGCATGTTTCTGGGTACGGGTGATGGACCTACCGAAGAGCCTCTGTGCGTGCGGATGGCACTAACCACAAGCTTGTAGCCCTGGTGGAATAAAGCGGGAAAGCAGAATGCTGCGCTGCTTCCTGCAGACCACGCCACGGACGGCTTCTCCTCTGCAGTGCCGCTTTGCCGTACCACTCTGCCTTGGACTGAAACTTCCACAGACCGTGAGCTAAAATAAACCTTTCCTCTTTTAACTTGTCGGTGTTGGGTGTTTTGTCTCAGCAATGGAAAAGTAGCTAAAACAAAGGAATAGTGAATAAAAGAGTGTTCACCAGAGCCTGGGCAGGGTACGGGGTATGAGAAAGGATGATCTATAAGTGCAGGGAGCAGTTACACAGGAAGAGCACCTTCTAATGTGCTCTCGCACAGCAGGGTGATTGTGACTGACCAGCATTCATTGAC